TCTTACAAGAGGAACAAGGGAGTGCACTCAGAAAGTGTGGTGTCCCAAAAAGGACAGAATCCTTCTCCCAAGGACTTCTCTTATAAAATGCCTGTCTCAGTTTTCCTTACTTGAGCCTTATGACTTGTCTTTCATTTTCAGGTGGTTCTTCCCACTTTCATTCTAGAGAAGCGGTCGTTGCTGGAGATGTACGCGGACTTCATGTCCCACCCCGATCTCTTCATCGCCATCACGAACGGCAGCAGCCCCGAGGAGAGGATGATCCGCTTTGTGGAGTATTACCTCACCTCCTTCCACGAGGGCCGCAAGGGAGCCATTGCCAAGAAGCCCTACAACCCCATCATTGGGGAGACCTTCCACTGCTCCTGGAGGATGCCCAAGAGCAACGTGGCCACCGATGCTGGCACCAACTCCTCTGCTCACTCCCCCTCGGAGCAAGTAACTCTGCCTAAAGATGCGGAAGGCCAAGCTGAGCCGGACTATTACACGGTGAAATTCGTAGCTGAGCAAGTGTCCCACCATCCTCCTGTCTCAGGGTTTTATGCTGAGTGTGTAGAGAGGAACATGTGTGTCAATGCCCACGTCTGGACAAAAAGTAAATTCCTAGGAATGTCAATAGGAGTGACAATGGTTGGCGAGGGTAGGTGTAAATTCTGTCCTTTGTTCATTTTAGAAGTTTGTTAAAATATTAGTAATTTAATAGCAAATTTGATTTTATATTCAAAAGATACAAGTTGTCACTGCTGTAAACAGCAAATTTTTAAATGGGAGGGAAAAATAGAAAGGTTTATACTTTGACAAAAATCAGGATTTTGTTTGGAAATAAAACATTGACTTTTAAGCCAAAGATCAGTTACTGTGATGTAAACGGATATTTATGAATTAATTTGCATCAGGCATTTATTAAATAGAACTGTTGTTGGATTTCTCTGTATGGCACTTAATCTTCCTATGCACATTTTGATTTTCTTTAACTAGAAAAATTGGAACCTTTAGGGACAGAGAAGGGTAACTGCCTTCAAATTGTAATTTTCCTGCACAAGATGAGTGCAGGAAACTGATGAGTGGGTAACTGCCTCTGTGTCCACTGTGTATTATATCCAGTACTTGGAGATTCCAGGCACTTGCTACAAACTATAAACTACACTCTGGACAAGGGAATGACCAAGGGAATGCCAGGGTGTATGAAAGGCACATCTTTGGCTGTACAGGTGTAATTTCTGAAGCTGATCTCTTGTAGGACCTTTCTCAAACCATAACTTTTCTCAGAATTTCCTGTGTTGTTTTTGCTGATGTCAGACACCCAGGGGTACTGTGCCCCAGAGGCTGGAGCAGGCAGCAGTTAGATGTTGTGCTGTTTTCTTGTAAGGGCAAGAGGGAGATCTTGTGCTTTTGGACTATTTATAGGAATCAAACCCACTAATCTTAAAACCCCCCCAAAAAATCTAGTATTTAATAACATTCTTGACATTTATTGCAAAAGCTGGTGTCAGGAAGGAGTTTGGTTTATCTTGGCAGAAAGATGCTGTAAGAATTGTCTCTGCTACCTGCCTTCAGATTGGGCAAGGTGTATTACAGAAAGGGAAAGCAGGAGTATTAGCCCTCCTCAGGATCTGCAGCTCAGGGAATTCATTCATTATTTCCTTTTGTCAGTGTACGTCTTGTCTTGCTGTGCTCCAGAGCTGTCAGTAAGACAGTGACCAGCTCTTCTATGTGCTTCTGAAAAGTATGTGCATAGCATGGGATTGTACTTTATGGAACAGTATTATTGAGATAAATATGTTTTCCCAGAAGAGATTTAAATGCACATTACTCAAGTTAGTAAAGGAAAATGTTTGTATCTAGAATCTAATAATTGACACTCTTGTGTGAATTTTTTAACTTTTTTTTGTGTGAAGAGCTATGAGGAAAATGAGCCAAATGTAGTATTGACTATTTGTTTCAACAACTTATTTGGCCTTTTCTGAAATGGTACTGGTTTACAGATTCTTATATTTCTTCACACAGGTATCTTACATCTCTTGGAACACGGAGAAGAATACACCTTCTCTCTGCCCTGTGCATACGCCCGCTCAATTTTAACTGTTCCTTGGGTAGAGCTGGGAGGAAAAGTCAACATTAACTGTGCAAAAACTGGGTATTCTGCAAGTATTAACTTTCACACCAAGCCCTTCTACGGTGGCAAATTGCATCGGTGAGAACATTTTGTTTGTTTGAAATAAGATTGATCTCATTTTTGGAGAACTGAAGCTTGCATGTAGTTCTGTTTCACTTGGTGCAATTTGAAAGTGACACATCATTTGGGTTTTTTTCCAGGATGTATCTTCCACTTTGCAATAGCTATTCTTGTGTCATAAGAGATAAGTTAGAGGATGTAGTTTTACTTCAGTGATTTAATTTGGAAACTGCTTTGTTGTTTGCCTCTCTGAAGTTAGTCACAGATGTAGAGGCTTTTTAAAGAGAGATCTGTTCAAGGTACTGTAACTATTGAAAATTTGACGTGGTGATGATTGGACATTGCCAAAAGAATCTCTTGATGG